GATTTTCCCACAGATGTGTCCCTAAAATCTCACACCCCGATAGCACCCAAGGGTGCTCGTGACCCTCGGGTGAACCCTCCCAGTGTGTGGGAGCCTAATCCTGAGCCAAGACCACTCCAATGAGTGCAGATGACCCTGGACACCCAGGAAAGCCTTTTCTGGGGAGACACCCGAGCTTCTGTGGTCAATGAGGAGCTCGGGGTTCCTCTGGGATGGGGCTGGGTTGGCGATGTCAGATCCCCCCTCTCTGGGGGATGTCAGAGCCGAGCTCTCCCTGCACCGCTGGCCATGAATGATGCAGGAGGCCTTGATTAATACCCGTCAGGAAATCGTCAATAATTGATGCTGAGCTGGAAGCTCTGCAGAGGCACCGCTCCAGCCTTGGCCCTCTGCTGCTCCGGCCAGCACTGCCAGGGAGGTGGGAGGGATGGGACACACCCCACAGCCACCCTATTGCCACTCCCAGCCACCCCATAGCCACTCCCAGCCACCCCATAGCCACTCCCAGCCATCCCAGCCACCCTACAGCCACCCCCAACCATCCCACAGCCACCCCACAGCCATCCCCAGTCATCCCACAGCCACCCCACAGCCACCCCATAGCCACTTCCAACCACACCCAGCTACCCACAGCCACCCCACAGCCACCCCATAGCCACTCCCAACCACACCCAGCTACCCACAGCCACCCCATAGCCACTCCCAACCACCCCACAGCCATCCCCAGTCATCCCACATCCACCCTACAGTCACCTCACAGCCACCCCATAGCCACTCCCAGCCATCCCACAGTCCCCCAGCCACACCCAGCTACCTACAGCCACACCCAACCACCCCATAACCATCCCCAGTCATCCCACAGCCACCCCACAGCCACCCTCAACCACCCCACAGTCACCCCAAAGCCACCCCACAGCCAGGGTTAAACCAGAGCACTCAGGAACCGTCTGGGGAACAAGCCAGGCCTGAGACAGGATGCTCAGGGGTTCAATCAGGACCAGGACAGGGATTAACCAGGGCAGCCATGGACCAGAGCAGGACCAAGCTGGGAACCAATCCAGGGTAATCAGTGGGTAATTAACCCAGAGCAATCAGAGATTGGACTGGGACCAGGTCAGGGGGCTTGGAGACCTCCTGAGACCAAACCAGGGCATTCAGGGACCAGAGCAGGACCAAGCTGGGAATCAAGCCAGGGTACTCGGGGACTGGATGAGGACCAAGGCAGGGATTAGGCCAGGATGATCAGGTACCAGCTCAGGACTAAGGCGGGAACCAAGGCAGGATGCTCAGGCACTGGATCAGGACCAATGCAGAATACTCAATCGATTAGGATCAAGCCAGGGATGAAGAGAGGATGATCAGGGACTGTCCTGGGAGCGAGGCCGTGCCCAGGGCTGTGTGCCCAGCCCGGGATGGGGCAGGAGCAGCGCAGGTGCCCGGGCTGGGGCCACAAACCCGACACCGCATCCCTGGGGAGGATGCTCCGGGTGATCCCGGCCAGGAGCTGCCAGGGGCTTCAGCGATGGGGCCAGGGTGGTCCGGGCTCGGGCCCGGGGGGCTGCCGGGGCACACGCCGTGTTGGTGGGGAGCAGGCAGAGGGAGCTGTGCGGGAGAACCGGCAGAGAGCAGCCCCGGCTCCGGCTGCAGGGGAGGAGGCGGCTGCCGGCGCTCGCCCTCCGCCTTCCTCCATCCCTGCATCCCTCCCTCCTCCCTCGCTCGCCATGCTGAGCCCGCGCTGAGCCCCCGGCGCCCCGGGGACTCTTCATCCCCAGGGTGCCCAGAACCGCCACCCTCCCAGCACCCCGCCGGGGCCTTCAGCCTCGGCTTCCTTCCTTCCTCCTCCTCCTCCTCCGCCTCCTCCTCCTCCTCCTCCTCCCCCCACCCGCAGCCACCACCCTCTCTCCCTCCTTCCCCAGGGCCTGCCTGGCATGGAGGTGCTGGCCGCAGGGAGCCGGATGCTTCCCGCGGGCTGCATCCCTCCTGCCCCGCATCCCCGTGCCCGCATCCCCGGTGCCCCGCATCCCCCCGCCCCGGCACAGCCCTGAGCCCTCGCAGCCGCCTCCTTTGTGCTGCGGAGCGGCTGTGCGGGCTCCGGCCCCCACCCCGCACCCCCCGGCTCGGGAGTGGCCCGCGGGCGAGCGGGAGAGATGCTACCCTCGCCGGAGGAGCCCAGCGCGGGAGCTCGGCGACCAGAAGCAGGTATGGGGCTACAGAGGATGGGATGGAGCGGGGATGGTGCCCTGGGAGGTGGTGGCTTGTCCCCAGGATGCTCCTCACCCAGGGCCCCCGGGAGCAGGGGGACGCAGTGGGGACAAAGCCGCTGCCGGGATGCGAGGATGGACCCGCCGCTCCCTGCTCCGGGGGCTGGGGAGGGGGACAAAAAACCCATCCGGATTTTCATGCCCACCTCCCCCGAGCCCCCCGTGCCTCAGCCCCAGCCGTCCTCGCCCAGCACGGGAAAGGATGGGGACCAGCATCCTCCATGCCGGCAGCATCCCCCACCGCCTCCCTTCTCCATCCCCCTCTTCAACCAGGCAGGGGAGCTGCCTGCTGGTGATATTTTTTGGGTTTTTTGGGGCTAGGGGGGGAGGGCAGAAATATCGTCAAACAATGCGAAGAAAGGCTCCATGATGGATGGCAGGTAGCGGCGCTGGAGCAGCCCGGGGATGCTGCAATCCCGGCGCTCGGGAGCGTTTCCCGGCTCCGGATGCCTGTGGGTTTTATGAGCGTGGCCGCCGTAGTAATGACTCCACGAATCATTCCCTCAAATCCTGCTCGTTGCCGTGGAGATGGGAGCCAGGAGAGCTTTTGGTTTTGCGGCCGGGCTAGAACCTGCCCAGGACAAGGAGCGGGCTCCGGGTGCTTCCCCATCCACCTGGGCCGGACCCTGCCTTGGATTTTAGCCGGGGAAATTCGGGCTGAGGCTGCCCGGGTGCCCCGGGGGATGTGGGCAGGGATCCAGGCCTGAGGCAGCACGGCACATTCCCCATCCCTGCGCTGGAAAAGCGCTTTCTCATCCCCCCGGCAGCGGCCGAAGTTGCCGGACGTGCTTTGTGCTCGCCGGGGTTCGGGTTCCGGCCGGGCCGAGCCCGTGGTGGCCCAGGTGGGGTCAGTGTGGGGAAGGGGGTGTTTGGTAACGACCCCAAAACGCAGCCAAGCGGGTCCCAAACCCTCCCGGCTCGTCTTGCTTTTATTTCTTGCACGGGTTTCTTGCCTTTGCTGATTTTTTCCCTTAAAAAATGGTTTCCCAGCCTCATGGCCTGGTTGCCCCTCTGGGAGGATGCTGAGCCACCAGGGATGCTGCCCTGGGGACCAGCAGCCGTGGATGGAGGTTCCGTGGCATTCAGGGCTCACCAACTGGTGGCTGTGGGATGCAGGAGGCCTCTGAGGGCTTTGAGGGTGGTGGGAAGAGCCATTTGTGGGATATTGCAGAGGGATGAGCAGGGGATACTCCCACCCTTGGGACCCCTGGGTGTTCTGGGGTAAAATCATTGCAGTTTTCATGTTTGAATGACAAAGGAATGAAAAATGAAAATATTGTGCCCTGAGGTGTGTTTGTGCCCCCCCAGGCTGGATGGCAGCCTCCTGGGTTGGGTTTTCACTGGTTTATCCCATCTCACAAGGGTGGGGTTTCTCCAATTTGTGCCATGGAGGATTTTGTGAGTGGGGGATGAACCAGGTCCCACAGGGACCCTCACCCACCCAGGCAGGAAAGGCCACCCTGTCCTCTGCATTGGACAGCGTGGGGGGCCCAGGGATGGAGGAGAACCCTTGGGGATCAATCCCAATCCAGGATCAG